AGTGCAGTCAAAATATCCTTTGTCTTTTTTTATTGAATTTTCTTTCATTTTTAAGAGCGGTGAGTGCAACTGTAGAATCTTTCAGAACTAAAATGAAGTACTGGAGACCTTCAGCTTATACTAAGACATAGAATATATCTGAGTTTGTGTGTGACTGTGAGGCTCTTATTCTGCTAGGAATTAAGTGCAAGGAGCTGAGCACTAACAAAGCAGTCTTAAGTGTTAGGAACAATGCACCTACTTCAGGTTTCACTGCAATTCTTTCTCCTACTCTTCTTCCACATTTCTGTCTATTTAAACAATAAGCACAGCAGATTAAAGATCTGCATTAGAATTTTATTCTGCCACATCTCAGAAATGCTTCCAACAAACAATTAGTAATATAATCCCTAACTGGACTCATGGAACCCATTTGGGATAAAGCTTCTCATGTTTTCTTGCTACTATTTTTATATAGTAATTCATGGGTAGAAACTGGGTGTCACTTGTAAATGACTGAGGAGAAAATCCTGTCCAACTAAATTCTTCTCCTGCAAGTAGGACCCCACAAGTAGGAGGAATCCTTTGTGCCAGGCCTTCCCATTCTTTCACCCCAGCTTAGATCTCTCTGAGAAGGTGAGAAATCTTAGCTGTCCTCATGATGCCTATATCAAAAAGTGGAATTATCTAACAACAGTTTGAACCTTTTCTTATTTTCTTTGGAAATTTGGATAAGACCAGAGAGCAGCAATAAGAAGCACACAAGAGGCAGTAAATGCCTCATCCCTGGCAACGTTAAAGGTCAGGATGGATGGGGCTCTTAGCAACCTGATGTAGTTGGGGATGTCTCTCYTCATTGCAGGAAGTTGCACTAGATGGCCTTAAAGGTCCCTCCCATACTATATTATGATTCTATGATCCTATGATCTATTACATCATGGCCACACATATAGAGAAACAGGCAAGAATCTGGGATCTCAGGAAGACTAGGCAAAATGTCAAAGAATATATAAGATAAATTACCAGAACTTTGAAATATTGATACTCCTAGTCTACAAATTAAAAAGTCTCAGCAAGGCCCAGAGACTCTGCAACACCGATTAAGAGAGGAAGTGACTTAGAACTTTGTCTTCAGCATAAAATGCAAACAATGCCTTGGCTGGAGCTGTGTTTGCTTCCTCTGGAATTAGTTTGTACTAACTGCACCTTGACAAGAGCGGAACTGCCATCCCTCTAGTAATGGAAAACAAGATAAACAATTGTACATACTCAGCAGAGTGCTGGTGTTTGAGCTGATACTATTTTACAATGACTCAATGCACTCATCTAAAGTAAATACTAAAAGAAAGTGGAAATAGATACAAAAGAAATGTTGTCCAGCATTTCTCTTCTGAGTTCACAAGGAAAATTACTGGATCCATGTTAGCGCTGGACCAGTTTATCCTCCTAGATCATCTACCACTAAAAGCAGTTCACATACTCCCTACCAGTAGAGTCCTGTCCATACCAAAGTCAGTGAGAGAATTCTTAATGATTTCAGTAGGGTCATTACATCCTCTATCCTAATGACAGGAAAAACAGAAGTATAATTTCTAATTTTTGCTATGTGCATTTTCACTTAATCATTGTATATGCTTTGGTATTATTTTTTAAAATATTTGTAATAACAGGAACATTTGAGCAAGGAAATCTTTGAGGAAATTACTGTTTTCCAGAGTGCTCAAAGCTACCTACCAGCACATTAGATCATGCAAACTTCAAATATTGCTCTATGCTTAGACATGACTACTAGCCAGACAAGCCACCCCTGCAGGAGGTAATTAACAATCTTGGCAGAYAAGATGTAGTCTAAATCTAAACGGTATTGTGTTTGCTGGCTTTCTGCCAGGACTCAATGGCTTTCTAAAAGGGATCCTTCTCCAGTCAYCATGAGCTGGGCTGTCAGTATGATCATCCACATGGAACTGAAATAGTCCCAAGCATATTTTCTTTGTCATCAAGAAATAGCTAGCAAATCCAATGGAGTGGAAGGTCGAGTAGTTATAATTGACACAAAAACATACAACAAGAGGGTGCTGGGAGACCTATCCCATCTCTTCAAAAATAAATGGATATTAGAATTTTTTTTTTTTTACCTTGAGTTTCAGATAAAAGTTTTGCATGAATGTAAACAGCATCTCATGTTTTTCTTTAAGTTTTTCCCAATACTAGATCTCATTTTTTTTAATATAAATGTTATTTAAGAGAAGTTTCTATTTGGTGGCAGGAAAACTGACTTCATTCCTGTTGAATGAAAATAGTAATAAAGCTTCAGTTACTGCTTTGTTACATCATCTTTGATTGGAGCTACAGTGATGTAATACACCTTGCTACAAATAGTGAATCTCTAGCCACTCACCCTACTGGAGCACATCATATCCTGCTCGTGTTTTTCGGGTCAGTCTTCCTCTAGATTGTGTTCAGATTTAAAATCTTGGCATTTATGGCCAGTCATATGATGTTCTGGGAAGAAAGCACACATTCACTTGCTTGGTCCTGATAGTTTGAAGCTTAAACTGTAACTTATAAATCTCTTCCAAAGACCTGAGAGAGCTACCCCAGGTCTTAAACAGTTTTTTCCCCCCCTTTTTCTGACCCAAGAATCACTCTGAACATCATGTAAGAAGATTCCTAAACAYGCTGGGAAACCTCTTGGAACATGTCATCAATAACAAGCAAACCTATGTTTAAGTAATGGAAACAAATTTTCCCATTGGACAGAAAAGGAAGAATAGAGAACTGCAGAGATACCAGTCTTACTGTTTAATGCACTTCAGAAATGCATTTCTGAAGAAACRGAACTGAAAATCTGAAGAATGGCAAAAAGGATGACTGGATCACAAGTCATTTTGCACAGTGATTTTGCAGTGGTTTTTATATGTTAGTTTATCACTACTCCTAGGGAAAGTATATGAAAGAACTAACAACACTTGAGAAATGTCATCATTTAAAAATCACTGAGAGCATGAAACAATTTGATCATGACAGTGTCTATTATGGTCTGCATAGAGAATGCAGAGATGCTATGTCTAGTGTCTGTCTACGGATTTACCACATCAGCATAAGGACTAGAAATGGACACAGATATTCAAAAATAAAAATAATTCAGAATCAACTCCTTAAYAGTGTCTGGAAGTACTTAACAGATGAGGAAGAGATAATAAAGATGGGAAGTCCCACCAATTGTGCTTTTTTCAGTTTATTTCACAGGACATTTGAATCTTATTATCAAAGTATACCAAACGTGACAAAATTCAACTGTCTAYAACCTTTAGGATAGCAAAACCTATTGTGGCAAATCTGTTCTCATCTATGGCAGTGGCTGGGAAAACCCCAGTACAACAATGTTGGCTGTTTACTATATTGCAATTCAATTTCAAATAGTTGTCTATCTAGCACGTTCCTAGCCACCCACAGAAATCGCCTACTGTGTCAGCTGTTGAAGGAGCCAGAAAGAAAAGCCCCTCAGATTACAGCTATAAGAGACAGGAGTTGGATGGTTTATTTGCTCATTTACAAGAAATGAACAGAAATGCCTCAGACCTCAGAGGAKAGAGATGAAGAGCTATATTCTTACTGCTATAAAGGCTTGCTGATGAGCATGAACTGAGAGTTGTCCACACTGTGCTGAAAACCAYGTGCTGTAGTGGCAAGAGAGCAATGCGTTCTTACAGAAATAATTTGTAATAGCAGTTTATCCACAAGCTTTGTTCATCATGAAGAAAYACCTTTTTATTTGATTTGAACATAGAGTGTTGGTTGATTAGAGCTACATATACTGAAGCTTACAAACAGGCAGCATTGCAATACTCAAAGATCAAGGCCTATTTGCTAGGAACACCTTTCACATTATTGTCAAAGCTAAAAGCAAATCTGACTCTAGGAGTGGTGTGATTTCTAATTTATTTGTTTAGCTACCTATGAGTGCATTCGAATGGAGGTAACTAGAAGTAAACAGAGTTGCAGAAATGAAATTTTCGTATATTTCTGAARGAAGTCGTTGATATTGTATTTTTACTCTATTTAGAAGAAATCTCACCTTGCTGATGGACTCTCTTGTGAATTTTCAYGCAACTCTATCCTTTTTAAGCACTAACACCAAAACAGGGAAAACCCAAGAATTTAGAACTTAAACCGAAAAATTKAGAACCTGTGGCAAGCTTGGGCTCAAATAATTTAAAGTAATTATGATAGAACCACATCTTTTTTTTGCCTCTCTGGTTGGATCTCTAGTATTTTTTTCCTTTTGAAAAAGCTCTTCTCCAAGAGTTTCTTCCTTTTTTTTTTTTTTAATAATCCTTGTGCTCCTGGAGGCTTACAATAGAGGAATAAGAGCTGACTTCCGAGTACCTAGTAGGCACTACTTGTCTCCAACTTTCTGGTTTCACATGAACTTTTTTCCCTGTTTCTTCCAGCCTTCTTGCTAGAAAAAAAAACCTGCAGCCTCTCTGTTTCCCCTACYGCTGTTAGTTACAGATCATTAGCTGGTGACGTGTCTCCACAGTGACTTTGTATTTGCTGGACTAGCATTACACAGCACAGTCCACATTTCCCAAATAGGACATTAAATCTCACATGTTCTTTAAACTGGGGATCTGACAAAGCACAGGCACCCACATTTATCAACACAGCGGACTTACGAAATTCCTGAGCTGCAGCACTCTGGAGGCTGGGAAGGTGAACCAGGAAAGGATTACCATGCACTTCCTTACTTTTCAACTCTTTCCTGGTCCATCGGGCTGGATATTTGATACACCCTGTTACAGCACTTGTGTTCTCTTGTTGAATAACTTGCCATAAAACCTACTAACTCCCAGGAACCTGAAGGAATCATCAGCATCAATGCCTACAGCATGCACATTTTGCCTGTGGAGTCTTTATCCAGACCACAGCACAGATTAAAAATGTTAACTACATGACAATGAAGTGAGTTTTAAAGAAGATATGAGTCTGAAAGATAGACTTGCAAAAAGCAAACCTACCTTCAGAGCATGCTCAAATTCATGATGCATGAATTCTTTACTGGAATCTTTGAAAGAAAAAAATGAAGGGAATTGTACCAACACAGGCTGAAAAAGCATAAAGAAGTCTTTGGCCATGTGGATAGGGCCCTGAGAAGCAGATGCACCCGTTCTTTGCCTGGATCCATGCCTTGCCGAGGCGAGGCGGATGAGTGGTTCAACAATCAGATCCACATTGAAAGAAAAGAAATCCTCACTATTTCTGTTGCTACAGTTSCAACCATGTACCAAATGCTGCAAAATTAACAGAGAAAGACTGCCTTGTCAGGGGCAAGGGTTTGAGCTGAGAGACCCCTGGGTCTGGGCTCTGTGCTCTGATTTGTGGGCTCTTTGTCAGGGGCTATTTAATCCAAAATTTACACACAGTACGTGCAAGCAGCCCGTTGTCACACACACCGAATGGCTCCTTCCCTGCTGSCCCAAGCAAGAGCGACAGGTGTCCACCACGGACTTCTACAGAYCAACTAAATTCACCTCAGTTATTTTTCAGTTCTTCGATTAACAAGCAACCCGGTCCGGGGGACASGTGTCCCTTCCTGCCAGGCAGCATGACCGCAGGCTTTGCGCCGGCGATGCCTGAAGGGTCGCGCTCCAGGCTTTGGGACGGGGGTGAAGGGGGCGACAGAAATGAGAGGGAGCGCAGAGGGAACGGGAGAGGGGCAGGGCGGTGCCCGAGGCAGGACGGTGCCCGGGACAGGGGCGGCCGCTGCCCACAGCCCCACAGCCC